ATTTAATTACTGTATTGACTAAGCATTCGATAATAGGAGATGTATTTGGGTTTGAGGTATTTAGGCCTTGGGAGTTTGAACATTATCCACAATGTCGCTCTATAGTCATTCCGTAAGTAGTTAATAATCTGAATTATATTTGAATCATAGTTTTTCTATTTTAATTTATTGTATTTTAATAAATATTAGGGCTTTGACCGTCGGATTGCCATTTAAATTGTTAAAAATTTTGAATAATTTGAGAATAGGAATAGGACTTACTGGTACATTAACATTAATTGTTTAACAAAAATAACTTTACATTAACAACGTCATAGAAACCTTGTTAATTATCACAATAATTGCACAGATATCATTAATTCTTATTCCGTTTTTATGACGCAAAGACTCAGTTTCTTTTTTTTATCATTTGTGATAGGTATTTTTGCACCATTTTTTTCTTATAAACAATTAAAAAAATACTAATGTAGATTGTTGATTAATAGATTACACTGGCTATACATTAGCTAAACTGTATTATCCGAGAAATGCTATCAAATCCTTACTTGTTTTTGCATCATCATACGTTCTTCTTATATATTATACCCGGTCTTTTTCAAACACTATCGAATCTATCATACTATCACTTTGTTTTATCATGTATATAAAAGCCACTACACCAATTGAATCTCAAATTCGAAAACAAAGCATGTCTTCTTCAGTCAAGGTATTGGCAAGATAATCTTCTTATACAGTGAAACATTTTATTGCATTCGAAAGATGAAGTATGAATAATAATACGGTTTTATTGTAGTGGTCCAGTTGTAATTGATGAATACTTTTTTTAATTTATTTCATTTCCATTTTTATGAAATATTTATTTATAGGAAATTTCAGCGAATTATGCATTTCTCTTGGGTTCCTTTATAGCTTTGGGTATTTTCACTAGAGTCACATTTATACTTTACGCATTTCCTATCGGAGTAGCTGTACTTTATCATGTATTTCTTTCACCCAGAACTCAGAACAAAAATTGGTATATAATTATTCATTTATATTTTGTTTTAAGGTTATTTAAAGATAACTTGTATCACTAAATTTATAAAAATTACTAAGGGCTGAAAAGTTTCAAGAATTGATTCCTTTGGCATTTGGCATATTCTTTATAAGTGCAATTTGTGTTGTCATCGATTCTTTATATTTTGGAACATTAGAGCTCATGTATAATGGTGTTGTCTTGACTAAACACCATATATTTGAATTTCTAAATAATCCAATAACATTACTTAAAATTGAGTGGCAGGTGAAGATTACTAAACTATTCACATCATTACATAGACATATGTATATGTATAATAATAATTATATGCATATGTTTTTTCTTGTAGGGAAATCTAATCTTTACACCGTTAAATAACATCCTTTACAATCTTGACTCTAATAATTTATCAGAGCATGGAATTCATCCTAGATACCTTCACATTTTCAATTTTACGCTTCTTTTTGGACCACTTGTGTTATTGACAATGAAGGATCTTAACGTTAGTTTTAATTACATGAGACTTACAGCTAAGAAAAGATACAAGACTGGTAAGCTATTAAAATATATAATACCTTAACTATTATTTTACTTCAACCATGAAGATGAATTATTGGTTTGTGTTACCAGTCAATATTTGTAATCAGATGCTAATGTTAACAGCAAAAATTTTAATACACAAAATCATGCATTATTATTTGACATAATAATACATATATATTATACAACATTTACAATTCATAAAAACTTATTTAATAATTATTTCCGACAAATAACGTCCTTTAACAGTTATTATTTACAGCGGCCTGTGCGGGTTCATTTTACTTTCATTGATACCACACCAAGAACCAAGATTTCTTTTACCACTTTTAGTTCCTGTTGTAGTAGTACCTTCTGATAGATTACAAAAATTACCAAAATTATTTTGGGTATGCTAACCATAATCATAACGATATAAATATTCAAAATTTTTGATTGTAATTAAGAATCGATCCTAATTATTAATTATTATTTAAAAGCTTGCATGGGTAATATTTAATATCATATTTGCAGTATTCTATGGCGGATTTCATCAAGCAGGAATTATACCAATAATTCAAAGATTACAATATCAAGCGATTGGGTTCAGGAATTGTGAGGAATACGAAGGATCTGTTCGTTGTGAGATTGGTAAAAGGATTATTAGACCAGGTTTGTTTGTTAATAACAATTATTTCTTTAGACCTATAATAAAGGATTGTTACTTATTGATTAAATTGCTATTATAAATATAGTCATGAACTCTTCAGAGACTTTTATAACAAATATCATATTTTACAAAACTTATATGCCTCCACGTCATCTATTTGGGTATCCAGAAGCTTGGCGTGGTATTATAGTTTCTTATTTATTTACATTTTACAAGGGTTATTTATGTTTAAAATAGTATTTTTTAATACAAGTTTATAAAATTACAGACACAAGTATACAAGTTAATATTCACGATCTAGCCGGTCGACCAATTAGGATGTTAGAAACTTTGTTATTGAAACAAGTTAGTCCAAAAAGACAATTAATCACGCCTAATTTGATGAGACATATCCATTTTCAACAACGCGTCGATGGCAACATTACTTTAAGACAATATGAAAGGTATTTTTAAAGAAAAAAAAAAAAATAGGATGAATTAAAATCTCACATTATATTATTTTTGCAAATAGAACGTTGTTAGTAACACCTTCTACAACTGATTTGTCAATGTTTGAAGAGCACAGTGAGTTACGTTTAAACTCTGAAACTAAGAAAATTGAATTGGTGTTAGTTGATAAATATTGGCCGCATTTAAATTTTGATTATCTTGATAGAGTTTTTAAACATGGAATGTATTTAAATGTTTATGCTGTTACGCAAAGATGATTTATTTATTTGTAACAAAATTGTTTTCAAAAAAGAAAAAAAAAATTTTTATTTCAAACTATATATGCTAATATATAATATGTGCAATTAAACGTGCAGAGTCGGTTTAATAATTTAATTAAACTTTACAATGAAATGCAATGCATCTTTATTTGAAACGTCACTACTAAAAAAATGAGAATATAAATTTATTACTTTAAAAAAATTTAAAAAAATTTAGCCACATTTTGAGACAAACCGAATTAGATCTTAATCATCATAATTAAAAGATAGCTTTGAAAATTAATGATAAGCTTAATTTACGATTAATCATCAATTCAAAATTTTATCAATCGTGTTTAATAAAATAAAACAAACATTAATAAAGTATTACGAAAGTATAAAGCGGTCATTTGTAAAAAAGGTCATAGGTCGCCCGGTTCCTTGACAGTATAAACAACAATTGTTAGAACTTAAAGTTCTGGGTTCTATTGAAAATTCAATTACTAATAGCACGCCAGAGAATATTAAAAGATAATACACCATATC